CCAGGGGCCCTCCCACCCACCGTGGCCATGCCCTTCTGCTTGGGGGGGACATGCTGCTTGCAGGAGAGGGAGCAATGCGAGCTGCCGCCCGGGCCATACACCCAAGGAAGGGACAGGAGCCGCCTGCCACCCCACAGGGCACAGCCAGGGCAGGACTCACTCGGTGAAGGGTCCGTAGGGCAGGCGCCGGGTGTCCCGGTGCTCCTTCCACAGGGCCATGTCGCTCCGCATGGGGTACTTGCCCTCCTGCCGCAGCAGCTGCTCCAGCACCACCGGGCTCCCGATGTTGATGTTCTCGTAATGCCCGAAGGTCGACTTCCAGATAGGGCCATAAATACGCCGGGACATCAACTGCGATGCACCAGAGCACAGCAGGGTGAATGGGACAGGGCCAGCACCGGGGCTGGGTCAGTCCCTCCCTGCCCTGATGCTGCCCTGCATGTGTCCAGAATGCTCTGCACCCATCCTGGGGACCCCTCAGCACCAGCTCTGAACCCCAAAGCTGGCACCATCCTTGAAACGCTCTGCAGGTGGCTTGGGCTGGTCCTTCCAGGCTCACGTCCTCTGCCAGCACTAAGCACGCCAGGCACTGACCCCCAGCACAGGCTGGCACATCCCTCACCCACCCCAGAGATGCACGGAGGGCCTGGTGGGTCTATTGGGCAAGCAGGTCCAAGAGGGGACAGCACGGACAAGGACAACTGCCAAGCACAGGGCTCTGCTGAGATGCGGGGCCATCGCAGTGGCTGTCAGCAGGCCCAAGCCCCACTGCTTTCAGCAGGCCCCCAGCCATGCTCTGCACAACCTGGGGACAACAATCCCTGCGTGGGTCCTTGAACCCACCACCCGATAAGGGTGGTTAATGATCAGCGGTGGGAGGGCAGTGCCAGGCCGGGGCAGGACTGGGCTGCTCCCAGGGCAGGCTGCCACCCCTGGGGCATGGCCCTGGGGCCACGGGCTCACAAGCCAGCTAGGGGACATCCACCAGCATCAGCCCTGCTCCGGGCTCTGCCGGCCGCAGCTCCCCTCTCCTCAGCCTCACCCAAAGGTGCCATGCCTGCCTCCCTGCTGGCGAGCACCGTGACCCCCGAGCGCATCCCTCCGGGTCAGCTGAGCATCCGTTTGCAAGTGGATCTGCACAAGGCCACAGCCAAGGGGTACTTTCTGCCCCACTCAGGCACGGCCAGAGCCCCTGTGGAGCGGGACCAAACCAGGGGGGTTGCGGAGGACCTAACAGGGAAGCCCTGGTCCCCATTCCCCGCGGCTGCGGGGATGCACGTGGTACAATCTCCCTTGGTGACTGACTGCATCGCAGCCTGCGCCCAGATTCAGCTGGATTCGTCACCACGGGGAGACGTTCCTCGTTCCTCGCGTTTGGTGGCAGGAGGAGGGGGAGGGACGGCCGCCCCGGTGCCGCAGGCGGCTCGCCGGGCAAACATGCTGCATGGGGTCATGGGCAGCCGTGGCCTGGGCTGAAGCCTGCCCACGGGTGTCTGCTGGCAGCCAGGACCTGGTACAGCGCAGACCTGGGAGAGCACAGCCTAGAGAAGCCGGAGCTGCTGGGATTCAGGGAAAGGCACCTCCAGAGCATGCGGGCATCTGTCCGAAAAGCCGGGCCACGCTCAGAGCCCTGAGGGCAGGAGGGAGCAGCAGGGAGCTTCCATGCCCGCTCCCTGAAACCCCACTGCCCTGCGACAGCCCCTTCTCCAAAGAACAGTGCCTGGTGCTCTGCGGTGCCGGGGAGGCCTCATCCTGCACGTTCCTCCCGGCCGGTCAGAGCTCCAGGGCGCTGGAAGATGCTGCCTGGCTCCCGGCCAGCCAAACCCATCGCTTGCTTCATCCGACGTATGAGGAAGTGTTGACAGAAGAAAACAAACACCTCTGCCTATCCCTCCCCTGCCTGCCTGGGTACCATCTGCCCAAACTCCTGCCCGACTGCCTGCCCCCTGAACCGTGGCCCCTCTGGCTCGTCGTGGCCGTGGGCAGCTTGGGCTACCCGGGGATGCCAGGACCCCATAAGCTGCCCCCAAACCTTTGCCCTCGGCTGCCTGGCCAGCTCAGGGGATGTCGGAGCAGCTCTGGGCTGGCAGGACCCTCCCGGGGCCACCCGGTTCTCTCCGTACTGCTCGCCCCAGCATCACCCCACTGTGGAGGGGTGCCCCCCACCGCTCAGCCCCTCCTCTCCCTCGCCCC